TGAAGAGGGTAAGGATATGTGTATACAAAAGGTAAAACTCAAATAAAACTCAAAGAAGACTCAAATATAACTCAAAGAAAATAAACTCAAAGGATATAAACTCAAAAATAACTCAGAATATAGGATATAAAATATAGGAAATAGGAAGAAAAACCCGGGAAAACAATCAATTTAAAAATATTAAAAAAACTCTCCCCACCGATCACTATGACCAAAATTCTGAAAAAAGAAAATTAAAAAAAGTCAGCCAAACGACTACAGAAACAAAGAGACTGCACCTAACTAAAGTTGTAAGACAAAAGGGATACAACAAGTTGTATTAGAACAAGGTGTAATAATCTATAGTAAGGAGCATAAGTTATTTCGAAAATAGCGTTCTGGCAAAAGTCTGTTGGTTTGTTTTTTTTTTTTAGAAAAGTGGGAAACGGGCTCACCCCAGTCTGCAGATCCATTCACATCACACAAAGTAAACCAACACGTCAAGATATTACAAAACAAATAGTAACCAACAGTACACGTGTAACTAATATTCAAAACAAAGATTACTGAGAACCAAACAAGTATAACGTAAGATGACGACACGTGATAAACAAACCGTAGTGGCAGGTTTGAACTGGTTTAGCAAGTTAGAAGAGTACAAAGATTTTTTTACAAAATCACCTGAAGAGTGGAATGTAGCAAGACAAGAACATTCACACTTAGTTTTATGGAAAGACAAAGAAATAGCAGCATTAACTGGAGCTGTACCTGAAATAATTAGTATATTTAGAAAGATAATAGAGCTATATGACTATAATGAGTATCTGGAGAGTAAAAAAAGAGAGATAGAGCTAACCAGAAGTAAAGCAGAGCCAAGTTTTGATGAACAGGTTAAAGAAAAACTAATCGAGTATAAGAGTGGAGTAGTCGATTACGGTATAGACGAAATTAACAACCAAGAGTCACTACACACATCGTTGGTTGAGGAAAATAATATAGAGGCTGACCTGATTGTAGAAGACGTGAAGGTATTTTCTGGTCAAGAAAGCATGAACGATACAACAGAAGTGGTGGCACAAGAACTAGAAAAGTTGCCAAGCATTACAGCCATGGTGACGAGCTCTGAAACTTTAGAAGATGCACCAAAGCTCAGTAAAGGTGATAAATGGGAAAAGATACCATTAAGAGGAGGCATAAATGGAGAGAACCAGGCTGAACTATTTACACTATGGGACATACCATTGTATGTACGGTCACAAGCAATAAAGAAATGCTTGCATTTCTATGGCAAGATTAACATTTTGAGATGGAAGCCACAAGGGAAAAATAAGGCAGTTTCCTTCACAATTAAATACCACAATATTAGACGTATGTCGGCTTTCCAAGCTGCATGGGCAGTACATTTTGTAGAAGGAAAAATGTTGAGAGTAACACCTGGTGCGTTCACGAAAGAAATACTCGAGAGCAGAACAAGATTCAAGAGCATAGTTAAAAATGGCCCAACGTCAGCAATAGAAGTACTTTTGTTAAGACAGTTGAAAAGGGTAGGTGCAAAGGCAGTTTATATTTCATATAACAACAATCGAAACCAAAGATGAACAGCATTGGTGTATTTCGAATCAAGAGGAGAGCTAGAGTCAGCTCAGAAAAGAGACATTTTCTACTATAACACGAAGCTAGAATGGCTAGGCGAAAGTGATAAAAAGTGAAAGAGGCCTGGAGAGAGAAGAGACCATGGCGTTTTGAAAAAGAGATCTTCATCAGATGAAAGAGTAAACTTTAGAAAACTCAACCTAGGCTCAAACAGAATTGAGAAGGGAGAATCAAATGAAGTAGTTAAGGATCGCAGACTGAAGCTCACGAGGGAAACTCAGTTTGTAGCCAAAGAAGGAAAAAGAGCAAACAAGGAAAACATTAAAGAGATAAGCAATGAAGGTTTGAGTAAGAATCCAAGTTGGAAAATAGTAAATACGATGGGTTCTGATGATCAAGTAGATGTTGGGAAGCTTGGGGGTATGTTAGAAGAAATCATGAAAAGGCTCACTAAGATTGAAGAAAGACAGCAGGGGGGCATTGGCCCCAATCGCTCCTGAGTTTTGCCACAGGCGTTTTAAAAAAGAAAAGGGGTGGCTTAACACTAAGTTGTTCAAGTAAGATTCAGCCTCAAAATGGAAGAGCAAAATTGAAGTCAAGCCTTATAACACAAAAAAGAGACATTAGGTTAAACATAGCATGCCACAACATTAATGGGATCAAGGGGAATAAGACAAAACTTAAAGCAATAGATGAGTGGATGTCAGAGAATGAAATTAATATACTTGGGCTAGTTGAAACAAACGCAAATGAGAAAGAATTAAGATTTAGCGAATTGAGCAATGGGAAAAAAGGTTTTTGGACACAAAGCACGATCACAAAAAAGAAAGGGTCAGGAGTCGGGTTGATTATTGATGCAAATTGGGAGAAGCATTTAGGACAAATTATAAGACTAGAAGAATATTTAATTGAAGCTAGATTCTACTTTAGACAGACTGAAATTATAGTAATAGTAGTATATTTTCTACCAAGTGATAAGGAGTTAGAAAAGACGCTCCAGAGAACAATTGTTACTAAATTTATAGAGAGATCTAGCAAAGCACACTTTATAGTAATGGATGACTTTAATAGAGTAATAGACCCAGTGCTAGATAAAAGAGGAGGTGATAGATACTCAGCACACAAGCTTTTGCCACTCCATAAATGGTTTAGAAATCAGGGCTTTACAGACTTATTTAGAGCACTAAACCCAGATGCAAGTATGTTCACGTGGTCGGGCCAAGGTATCGAATCTCGAATAGACCAGATTTGGGCTTCAGAAGATTTGGTTTTGGGTGCAACAAAAGCGGAGATCATCGAGGCAGAGTTTATAACGGCAAGTGATCACAATATTGTTACAGCTGATATCACGTTAAAGCATCTTATAAAGATAAGAAATATGGCCAAAACAAAGAGAATGGGAATAGCTAGAACGGTATTCCAATATGATGAAGCAACTAAAGAGAACTGGGATAAGTACAAAGAATGGGTCGATAGGCTGCTTCTAAGTAGTACGATAGTCAAGCAGCCTAGACTAAATTGCCCTGAACAGTATATAAACGAGTTGTGGGATACAATTTCTAATTCAATCA